GTTAACATACATGTTACATGTTAACACTGCAGTTACATGTTAACACTGCAGTTACATGTTAACACTGTAGTTACATGTTAACATTCATGTTACATGTTAACATACATGTTACATGTTAACACATCAGTTACATGTTAACATACATGTTACATGTTAACATACATGTTACGTGTTAACATACATGTTACGTGTTAACATACATGTTACGTGTTAACACTGCAGTTACATGTTAACATACATGTTACATGTTAACACTGCAGTAACATGTTAACATACATGTTACATGTTAACACTGCAGTTACAGGTTAACATACATGTTACATGTTAACATACATGTTACATGTTAACACTGCAGTTACATGTTAACATACATGTTACATGTTAACATACATGTTACATGTTAACATACATGTTACGTGTTAACATACATGTTACATGTTAACATACATGTTACATGTTAACACTGCAGTTACAGGTTAACATACATGTTACGTGTTAACATACATGTTACGTGTTAACATACATGTTACGTGTTAACATACATGTTACGTGTTAACATACATGTTACGTGTTAACATACATGTTACATGTTAACATACATGTTACATGTTAACACTGCAGGTACATGAAGAATGTGAGGACTTTCTATTTAAAAGTAGCAACATTTCAAGAAATAAATATAAAAGTAAAATTGATAAATAAATAATTTTTCAATAAAAAGATGTAAAGATAAAGTCAAAGTTGTAAAATGTGGAGAGAATAAAAAGCTGCCAAAGAAAGAAAGACATCAGATTGACGTGAAGAGGCTGCAGCTGTTGGACAGGCTGAAGTGCTGACTCAGCAGGAGTCACTGTCTCACCTGGATGTTCATGTCTGAAGAGGAAAGTAAAGATGATTCAGCTCTTATTCTGAAGCTTCTCATCGAAGAGGCTGTTGCTATGGTTACACCTGGTCTCACCTGGTCTCACCTGGTCACTGTGTGAGTCTGGACCCTCTGCTGGGACTCAGGGCTCTGTGAAGAGCCGGGCCTGTTCTGTCACATAGACCTGGTCCTCTGTTTTCCCGAACATCACCACCTGCAGCTCTTTGCTCACCTGGAGACACAGAGTCTGTCACAGACCGAGGTCCAGTTCTGATTCTGGGCCTGACTCGGTTCAGTTCTGACCTCAAAGGGGTGGTTCCTGTGAGCTGGACCAACAGGTGAATCCAGGTGAACATCAGTCTGCTGACTCCACCAGATTTCCACCTTTTTGTCTAACGGGAAGCAGCCGAACTCATCAGACAGCGGGCCAGAACCCCTGGATCCAGACCTGGACTCCTTCTGGACCTTCTGACTCTTCTGGTAGGAGCTCAGCAGACTCTCACCAAGCACCTGCAGGTCACAGGTCAGAGGTCAGAGGTCAGGAACAAAACATGAAGACAATCCTGTAGAAACATCTAAAGCATCAGAACATGTCCACAGGTCTGAGGACAGTCCTGGTCTGGTCCAGGTGTCAGAACATGTCCACAGGTCTGAGGGACCGTCCTGGTCTGGTCCAGGTGTCAGAACATGTCCACAGGTCTGAGGACAGTCCTGGTCTGGTCCAGGTGTCAGAACATGTCCACAGGTCTGAGGACAGTCCTGGTCTGGTCCAGGTGTCAGAACATGTCCACAGGTCTGAGGACA